TTAATTAAATTAAATAACTAAATTCTCAAGATTACATAGAAACTTCAAATATTCTAAAACTAATATAAGTCAAAGGTTATGGCAATGCCTAGTTTAATAACACTTTACAAGTTATTTCTACCTAACTCACATCTAGGTAAATTAAACTTCATACAAGAAAATAATTAAATAAAGTTCTCCACGCTCATTCAAATATTTTCATTTTCATATATGTTAATAAACATATTAAGGCCTAATTTAATATCACATTGTAAGTTCACTCCAATCTAGGTATAACCATGCGAATTAAATTTCATACAAAGAAAATAATTAAATAAAAGTCTCAAACCAATTCAATTATTCTCAAATTAATATATATGATAGAACATGCCAAGCTCATTAACAATATCAAGTTAAAAATCTAATTAAGTGAGTAGAACACTTAAAATAAAATTAATTAACCTAATTAATTAATTTTCTATAGATTTTAAAACAATTCCGAATATTCTCAAATTCACATATGTTAAAGAACATACTAAGGCCTAATTTAATATTACATTACAAGTTGATTCCATGCTAGTTAAATTTTCATAAAAGTGAAAGATTAAATAAAAGTTGCAATACTTATTCAAATCCTCCCAATTTAATATATGTTAATAAACATATCAAGGTCTAATTTAATAGCATGTCACAATTTAATTCTAACATATATACAACCATGAGAATTAAATCTTACACAAAGAAAATAATTAAATTAAATTCTAGATAAAATATCTAGGCATGCATTCAAGTTGTATAAGTTTATAAAACAATCAATACAACAATTATATAAACCTAGGACATCCCCTACCTCACTTTGTGATGAAATCTCAAATCCCCACCGGAAGGAAATCGCTCTGAATCCGATGATACTTTTAAGTTATGTCGGGGACTACAAGGGAAGCAACTTTAACCCTTGAGACACATGAAAATCCAAACCCGAACTCAAAAATAGTCAAAATCAACTTCTAATAAGGGAGAAAGGACTGTCTCGACAAGGCCTACAATAAAGCCTGAGGCATCACGTCATTTTACAAAGGGGAAGAGGGTTAAATTGAGAGAAGAAGGGTGGCAGCCCCCTTGGGCTGCCATGGCTGATCTACAGTAGTGTGAGAAGAGGAGAAGATAACTTTTTAATTTTATAATCCCCTATTTATAGTAAAACTCTAAAAGTGTCTCGCCCGGTCCAGAAAAGTGGAATTTGCGTAGACGCGCTCAAATGGTAAAACACCGTGAACGAAAAAGAACCGAAAAAAAAAAAAAAAAAATGAACAACAAAAGAAATGACATCTAAAATTGAGTCCCGTGCAGAGAGATATGCCCCGAACAAGTTCGGCGCTAACTGGGCCGAAAACCCTAAAACTGGGGAAAACGTCCGGAAAGAAATTCTAAGAGTTCACGACTCGATGAAATGTGAAAATGAATCTCTTACGAGGATCCAGGCTTAAAATGAGGCACTTTGTAATAACTTTCGTTAATTGCACAATCGCCCCTACAAAAAGGGATAACTGCAAAACTGCCCAAAATGAAAATATCTTCCAAAAGATATTTTCTTAAGAACCCCTAATCAAAATATCTCCAAAAGATATTTATGAAATATACCCAAAAAAACATCAATGTTTCTGAAGAATCCTTTCATCCATGCTCCTACAAGAGAAAGAAAAAACTGGCGAGCTTTTTTCCAAAAGTAAAGTTACGCGTTTCGAGGAAATCAACTGAAATGAAAACTTGTGAAGTCAAAATTCAACTCTAAACATGAAAAGTGAGGTTGTGCCAACAAAGTGACAAACGAGAAAGAGACGAAAAGTGAATAGTGTCCAAAAAATGAAAATGTGGAAATGACTCGATCCTTAAAAGAAGTTGTCAATCCAAAGGAAAGAGTTTCAGAAACCATTTCCAAGCACTCAAGACGACACTAAGTGTTGAGTAACCGAACTCAGAAAAGAAAATTCAACGAAAAAAATTCATCCGTCAAAATTTGAGAAAAAGGGAAAGAAGAAAAATAATAGGATCATTATAGGGTAGATGTGGAAATTTATATCAATGTGGCATATATGTAGTTTATTTCACATAGGAGGGCATTTTAGTCATTTTGGTGGTCAAAGGTAGACCCCACAATTTGACCATATATGTGATATAGGGACCAAAATGCAGAAATCTGCACACTCCACTCCCTACAACTAGCTCCCTCTTCTTATTCTTCTTTCTTCGTTTTTTCCTTTAGTACACCATTGTTACATATTTCAAACTTATTTTTGAACCCTTTCATGAGTGATTTTGGCAAAGTGCAAAGAGGAAAGTTCAACCTACTTCTCGAGATCTATCTATTGATACAAAAATTAACACTATTTTCTCATTTTGAAATTTTGGGTCAAGCTCACGGGGTAGATTTTGAGGTGGCTCTAGAAGAAAACATTGTCCTACTCACCTTGCTCTTTATATTGGTGGTGTTAGACTTCAAATTGGAGGAGTTTTAACCTCGGTTAAAGCTAGAGCTTTTGATAAGCACTAAATATTGCATGTGTAAATGCCTTAGTGATACTTTTATCTTAATTTTTATGTTTATTTTTGTTTATTTGCTTTTCAAAGGGTTTTACCCAAAGAGACGGTCAATTCTATGTATTTAAATCTTATTGCGATGTTCCCGGTGCTTAAGGAGATGTTCGGGGCCTTCTGGGTCAGTTTGAGATTCAAAAGAGAAGATTTGATAAAATTCAACTCCCAGAGCTCGACCACACCTTTCTGTGCTCGAGCACAAATCATAAAATTTAAGAAAAAAAGCCAAGTGTTGAAGAAAAATACGATTCGAAAAAATTCAACTCCGAAATGGGTCACAACCCATCAACCTGCCCGTTTTTTTAATGATTTTGGGTGAATCATATTTTAAATGGGTTGGATAATTTTTAATCACTTAATTCGATGGCCAAAATAACCTATATTCAACCCATATTTCACCCATCACATAATAAACACAACACACATCTATTCCATATTACACTCAACTCATTTCTCTTTCTCTAAAATTCTCTCACTCACGATTCTCCCGCTCTAAATTTGTCTCTCATCAATCCCCTCTCTCTAAGTTTCTCTTTTTAGAAATTTCTTCTCTTTCCTTCACTTCTTTCTCTCTAAAACGAATCCATAAATATTGTTGAGTTTGGGATTTTTTTTTTTTTATTTGTTATTAAATAAAATTTTAAAACCTTCCGAAGAAAAATTAAAATAAAAAAAATAAAAATATTTAAATATTAAAAAAAGTATTAAAAAAATTTAAAATAAAATAAAATTTAAAAATTTAAAAAAAAATTAAAAAATAATAATTAATGGGTCTACAGGTCATAAAGGGTTGACCCTATACATTTTTGACCCACTCATTTTCAACCCGTTCTGAACAAGTTAAATATGGGTTTTAATCCATATTTGACCTGCTCATTTTCAATCTAATTCAAACCCGGTCCAACCTGCCCATTTGCCACCCCCACGTGTATCCCATTACAGTTGCATAGTGAAAGTTAAAATTGGATTCTAGTTCTCAAATTTCATGATACATCATATTTTAATGAGAAAAGGTTATTGCATGTTGGGTCCTCTAATCCCAACAATCTGAGATTTATTTAGCTATTCCTTAAATATACACAAAATTTGTGTTGCTTTCTGCACGCATATATATATATATATATTTTGGGAAAGTCAATCTACGTCAATTCACTTATCTATTAAACATTTCTGCACAGATTTTGTAGTCACTATCTTTGATGAAGGTTATTTATCTATTTCTTAGTTTAGTTATTTTTTCAATACCAATAGGTGTTAAGTGCATATGAATGGCTTAAAGTTTTACATCCTGACCAAATTGGTCAGCTCATCACCAGGAACCATTTTCAAGCTCAAGATATCTGCAAACACAAAATGAAGGATGGGATATCCCAGGTGTATACTACACACACAGTGGTGTTTATTCACATACGCACAAAAGGTAAGTAGCTATTCCCATAACTCCTCCGAACCTTGAAGTTATTATTACTCCAACAAACCCCTTTCAGTCTTTGGTTCTTAACTAACCCCTTATGTGGGTTGACCCGCTTTGGTAACTTGTATGCCTACCCCATTACGGTTGCATAGTGAAAGTTGAAATCGAACTTTAATTCTCAAATTTCGTGATACATCCTATTTTAACGAGAAAAGGTTATTGTTGTGTGTTGTGTTGTGTGTTGTGTTGCATGTTGTGTCCTCTTTTTCTAACAATCTGAGATTTATTTATCTGTTCCTTAAATATATGATGTCATCACAAAATTCGTGTTGCTTTCTACACAGATTTTGTCTTCACTATCTTCTGATGAATGTTATTTATCTATTCCTTAGTTTAGTTATTTTTTCAATATCAAGTAGGACATTGACACCAATAGGTGTTAAATTGCATATGAATTTACGTCAGCTCACCACCAGGAACCATTTTCAAGCTCAATATACCTGACAAACACAAAATAAAGGATGGGATATCCCAGGTGTATACTACACACACAGTGGTGTTTATACACGCACAAAAGGTAAGTAGTTCCATAACTCCTCCGAACCTTGAAGTGATTATCACTCCAACAAACCCCTTTCAGTCTTTGGTTCCTAACTAACCCCCCATGTGGGTTGACCCGGATTGGTAGGAGGAGGTAGTGGGTTGACCCGGATTGGTAGGAGGAGGTAGCTGATTTTTGTTGGAAAATTCCGCTTGAAAGAATAATGTTAGATTAAATAAATTAAATACAACGGGCACGTTTTGACCCTTTTTTTTTAATAAAAAAATAAAAGAAAATGTGAACTACTTGTGGTAAGATGTACACGTGATTAACTAACTACTCTTCTCCCTCTAACAGCTTCATTACAGTCACTTAAGACTTTTGTGAACTCTCAAATTAAGAATGGTAGTTACAACTCAAATCCTTTTAATCTCCTCCGCTTCCCACAACGCGTCAAATTGCATAGACAAGTCAATTACTATATATACATATATATATATAGTAAGTATCACACATACACATTTAGTGAAGTAGTGCATTGATTTAAATTGGTAGCAAAAAGATGGGGTCAGTGGAAGAAAATCACGATGAAGTGTACCAGACTCTGCTGCTGGGACTGGACTCTCACGCTCAGATTCCAGGTTTGTCGTCGGCCGCCGTGGAGGAGTTCTTGTCACACAGGCCGGTGGCTCTCCGATGGTATCCTCGCCTCGTGGGTTGGGAGTCCAGGCTCCTCTGGCTCCTTTCGGGAGCTTCCATCATCGTTTCCATTTTCAACTACATGCTCAGCTTTGTCACCCTCATGTTTACCGGCCATTTAGGCGCGCTGGAGCTTGCCGGAGCCTCCATTGCCAGCGTCGGAATTCAAGGCCTCGCTTATGGGATCATGGTACCTCTACCTACCTCTTCCATTAAACTCACTTTGTGTGTACTTTGGTTTGCTGCTCACAGAGTGCTAGTTTTGTTCAAATAGGAAATTAATTTCACTCAATTTAAGCACCATTTATTATTATTATTATTATTATTATTATTATTATTATTATTTTTGTCTACAAATGGTAAAGTAATCACACACACCCTTTTGCCCCCGCTCGGATCAAACCCTCCCCTCCTCTTTCAGGTTGTATGGTTAGGCCAATGGTCCTTCGGTAAACACGATTGATGTTGTAATTAATTTCACTCAATTTTAGCAGCATTTATTTATTTATTTTTTGTCTACGAATGATAAAGTAATCACACACCCTTTTGCCCACGTCCGGGACCAAACCCTCCCCTCCTCTTTCAGGTTGTACGGTTAGGCCAAAGGTAAACACGATTGATGTTGTAATTAGTTTATGTTTAATTTACAGTTGGGCATGGCAAGTGCTGTTCAAACTGTGTGTGGGCAGTCATATGGAGCCAGAAAATATGAGGCAATGGGTGTGATTTGCCAGAGAGCAATTGTGCTCCACATTGGGGCAGCAATTCTGATAAGCTTCCTCTACTGGTATTCCGGGGCGGCCCTGGAAGCCATGGGACAATCAGAGAGCATAGCAGAGCAAGGCCAAATTTTCGCTCGCGGTTTGATCCCTCAACTCTATGCATTTGCAATAAGCTGCCCGCAGCAGAGGTTCCTTCAGGCACAAAACATTGTCAACCCTCTGGCTTACATTGCTGTTGGGGTATTCCTTTTGCACGTTCTTCTCACATGGGTAGCTGTGTTTGTGTTGAACTATGGCCTCATCGGCGCTGCCCTCACACTTAGTCTCTCTTGGTGGCTTCTGGTCCTCATTCAAGGCCTTTACATACTCTTCAGTCCGAATTGCAACCAAACATGGACCGGTTTCTCTGTTAAAGCATTTCGAGGGATTTGGCCGTATTTCAAGCTAACTGTTGCTTCTGCTGTTATGTTGTGGTATGTGTGTTTGTTCCACAAGAAAAGAAAAGAAAAGAAAAAATGGATTATTTCCCTTCAATTCTGACCCTATTCATATAATTTGTAGCTTGGAGATATGGTACAGTCAAGGACTTGTGCTTATATCAGGCCTTCTATCAAACCCTACCATCGCACTGGACTCCATTTCCATTTGGTATGTAGATAACAGCCCTGTTTCTATTGTACTTACACTAGCTCGTCATAACTGCTAATGTGATGAATTTCATTTCATTTCAGCATGAATTACTTGAACTGGGACATGCAGTTTATGTTGGGGCTTGCAGCAGGAACAAGGTAAGTAAACAGTCTTTTATCTTCTCATCGTTAAACCGAAGTAATGATGATGTGAAACTGATTGGTTTGCCGGAAACATTGCAGCGTTCGAGTCAGTAATGAGCTTGGTGCTGGTCATCCGATGGTTGCCAAGTTTTCAGTGCTGGTGGTGACCACCACCAGTATCATCATCAGTATAATTTTCAGTGCAATTGTACTAATATTCAAGGTTGGATTGAGCAAACTCTTTACAACTGACACTGAAGTTATTGAGGCTGTCTCCAATTTGACCCCACTGCTTGCCATCTCTGTTTTGTTGAATGGCATTCAACCCATACTATCAGGTAAAATATTTTATTCTAATTTGTCTTAGCAGTGTAGATTAGTAAACCAGAGAGAGACTTCTTTTGTCCAAGAGTCATTCTTGAAAGGCATTATAATATTTTTTTTCTTTTTCTTTTTTTAATTTCAGGTGTTGCCATTGGGAGTGGATGGCAAGCTGTAGTGGCATATGTTAACCTGGCCACTTACTATGTTATTGGTCTCCCCATTGGATGTCTTCTTGGCTTCAAAACAAACTTAGGAGTAGCAGTAAGTACAATGAATGATCTATATATATATATATATATGTATGTGTATATATAGACACACATTCTTATGTTGACTTTGTTCAGGGTATTTGGTGGGGGATGATAGTTGGAGTTCTCTTACAAACAGTAACTCTAATTGTTTTAACTGCAAGAACAAACTGGAATGCAGAGGTAATCCTATCTTTTGATTCAACAAGTTTGTCATGGATTGTGTGGTCACCATTCATGCTGTAATTGCAGGTCACAAAAGCCGCTGAACGCTTGAAGCAATCTGCAAACGAAGAAGCCTTGGACCTTTTGGACAACATATGAGGAAAGTCGGGTGTTACAGAACATACCATCATGACATCTTCTTCTTCAACTTACAGCAAAAGAGAATTTACTCAAACTAGAAAATTTTTAAACTCTAATACTCCGTCTGTAAAAGATGAAAAGATGTTTTATTGCCCAGAGAGAACTGTATTTTGTTTTCCATGAAAAGTTTGAACGATATCCATCAATCCGAACAAAGCTGTACATGCAAGATAGGAACAACTTAAGCTATCAAAAAAAGCGTCAATACCCCATATGTGCAACAGCATTTTTTACTCATTTCACAGACAATGAAAAGTAGGATTGATCTATTTCCAAATGCTATAGCACATTTGAGTGATTTCATCTTTACAGAACTTCCAGACAACGTTTTGCAACTAAATTCATCGAAACAACTACCCAAAAAACCAAAAAAAAAAAAGAAAAAAAAAAAGAGGAACTATCTGTGTACTGCTAAACTACTAAATGCAAGAATCCAGATACAAAATTTAGAGCATGCACAACACTTGGTTGTGTTGAAGCTAACCACAGATAGCTGTCGTCGAGTCATCTTTTTCTTCAAAAGAGATTATCTGTCCTGCATCATCCTCTTGGTCATCGTCTTCATCACTATTGGCCTCATCATCATCAACATACTTGGGTAACCCATCAACCAATTGCTGATTGGCATAAAGATTGCTATGTCCTACAAGCTGGTTAGCTTCCATTTGTTCTTCTACGGTTTTTGCTAAAGACAAAAGAATATTCTTTGCTTTCTGATCAGGAGGAACCCCACAAATTTCCATCTCTTTGAACCAAACTACAGCAGCATCAAAATCTCTGTTTGTACCATATGCATCCATGATTGTAGTTAAGATGGTCTGGTTGGCTTTGATACCATGAGCCCGCATTTCATCATATTTCTCTATCATCTTCTCAAGATCATTTACCTTTGCATACCCTTTGACCAGTGTCCCGTAAGTGATAATATTTGGTTGTAATCCATCTCGTTTTATTCTTGTGAAGAACTTTTCAGCACCCTCCATGTCAGATGCATTCACATAAGCTGATAACATGGTTGTATAAGAGCAAAGATCTGGACTACATCTGCAAAATACAGACAATGGTAATTTCCCCATTATAGAGAGAAACTTATGAATTAAATATGGTATAATATCCACTCCAACATTATACACCTGCTTGAGCATTATATCAAGGATCAAGAAGATGAAACATCCTAAAGCTTCACAAAAAGTCGACCACTTTGTGATCAATGATACTCTCAAACTAGCAAAAAGCATCAGCTGTCGGGGTTCCACCTGTTTATTAACTAGCATGGGGATAAGTCCTTTCCTATCCAAATGGGACAGGGCTTAGACATCGGTGGGTGAAATAGATAGCGTAAAGAAGGGGGCGCAGTGCGCCCTGAGATACCTCTTTCTTCATCTTTCTAGTATTTCAAGGGGCATAGGTGACTATCCCTGTATAAAAGGGGGAGGAGGATGCGAGCAAGTTCGTTAACAAAAAACAAAGGTTCGGTCTCCCAGAAAGATCAAAAATTTATTTTTTAAATGGTACAAATTGCAAAATTTTGTTTAGCATAGCTCCACAAAAATAGGAGCGCCAAGACAAACATATAAAGAGAATAGGAAGACTGGCAAAATTTTATTAGAAAGACAATTTCAAAAGAAAAAAAAAATGGAAAAGAAAAGAAAAGAAAAAATATATATATATATAGCCTCATTAATATAAAGCATAAGATAAACATATAGAACATGAGATGTGTCAGTGTCGGCCCAGCAAAGCAGCACAGCATAAGATAAACGTATTCAGTAAAGGGGACGGTGCACAGCAGAGTAGCCCTGCCAAGATTGGAGCTCAAGATAAACATGTAGAGAGCATGGGATGATTGGAGTTTAAAGACCACACAGCACTTGTATTTTGGATAAGAACGGAGTGTTTGTGGCAGCAATTGTGAAAAAAGTGAGTTTCATGGTAAGCGCAGATGTAGCTTAATCTCTTTATCTTGGAGAGGATTAGTATAGAATGCAACAGAACTTTTTCTATATAAGTCACTGTCTCAGCAGCTTACATGAGGTTGCCTATGAACCAGACTAATGTGCCAATAAAACACATGCAAGCTTCAGAGCCATAAAGGCATCAGTTGGACTGTTGGAAGGATTCTTTTTGTCAGTAAAGTCTAAAGTGATTCTGAGTTCATTTTTACTGCTCAAGCTGACATGCAAGTGTAATATTTCTTTAAGCAATGATAAATGTTTTGGACACTATTAACTACCTAACTCCACTTGTTTGAAAAATTACTCTTGAATTCAAATATTAATTCAAAGAATTCTGCAATCAGCTATATCACCCAATTAAGAAAATGAGCATCGCTTGAGTGACTGATTGTCATTCCACATATATAGAAGACCACAAATGGCTATAGCCTAGTGGTATCTCCTCTACCTTCCAAAGTGGAAGATGAAGGTTCAAGTCCCCGTAGGGACAAATGGGTGAGTGAGTTTCTTGCCAAGGAGAAAAAAAGGGCCAAAGTGACACTCCTTATACTCGAAACCATTCACACGCATGGCAACCCAAGATTCTTGTTAATCTACGCATACATATTACACAAAATTAGGAAGGGGAATAATGTAAGACTTAAGCACAATTCTGCAAGCATCATCCTTCTACTCCATCCCAATTAATTATATTTCCATAATCATTTTCCATAACTGAATCTGATTCCACCTCCACCACTTTCCTCTCTTTAACTCAATAGAGAATCATTTTGCTAAAATGGAAGAGGGACAAATGGTTGAAATCAATGAAAATATACGAAGAACAAAGAAACTGGAAACCAAAAAATTGATAATACAACATGATACTAATGTGAGGGAGAGGGGAAGGGGTGAAAATCTGAGTCATAAATATAGCACATTTGTCAAATGCATCTATGTGGTGTGAATCATACAAAATAAAGATTAAGAAATTATATTTTTTTCCAGAAGAAAACAAAAGATAGCAGCAACAGCAAGGACAGCAACAAGAAAGTTACTTCTGCATTAATGTAAAGACATTAATTTTATTTCAAACAAGGTGCTATATTCAAGAGCTTAATATCATTTATGGAAGGTCGGTTATAGCAAGGAGAGAGCACCTCAAACAGACACTTGAATGCCCCCCACTCACCAAAGAAAAAAAGGGGGAAAAGAAAACAATAAGAAACCCCATGCTGTCATATCACACATACCCTCCAAATCATAAACCTTCTGAATTTTTCTTCATTATAACAGTGAATTATAAACTAAGTTGTCCCACAGATGTCCATGTACTAGGTAAAGCTTTCAGGCTGGTCTAGCATTAGTGAAATGCATAGACAATACCCCAAGCAAAATTACAAGGAAGATATGAGATCTCAGAAGAATGGTTGGTCTTTCAATATTCATTCTTTTACCCTTTTTTTTTTTTTTTCTTCTTCTCTCTCTCTGATAGAATGACTAATCCGGTAATGTCAGGAGTTAGTCACTAATGTTTCTGTTCATAGATTTGCTATTTTATTGACTTACAGCCTAAGAAGCATGGACACAGACACGAGACACGGACACGATAGGACACGAATACACTGAAGCGTCAAATTCTAAAAAAGTAGGACATAGACATGGCGTGGACACAGTTAATATAAATATAAATTTTCATTGATACATATGTTGTATAAGATAATTATACAACTTTAATTAATTTATAATTTCTATCCTAAAGTTATATAAGTAGAAGATGAAGCTATTTGAATATATATATATATATATATATATATATATATCCTACTATATATGATATTTCTATCCTATCTTGTCATTATAGTTATGTTTTTGTTCATTACATACTGTGACGTGTTTAATATCAAAATTTTAAAGAAAAAGAATTTGGGTACTTTAATGTATGTTCATAATTTATTTTCAGGACTGTCATGTGATTGTTTTATATAAGAGGAAGGGTGTGGGATGTGTTGGTGTGTGTTTGAAATGTGTGACCAAGCGTCCGAGATATGTTGGCCAGTGTCCAAGGTGTGTCAACCAAGTGTCTGAAATAACAAAAATAATTTTTAAATTGTGGACACAGCCATGAAGTGTTGGAGACATGTCCAGGATTGTCCAAGAAGTGTTGGTGTCCGACACAGACACGAAACTTATTAAGTGTCCGTGCTTCTTAGCTTACATATTTATTGTATAAAGAACAAAGCTCTTATGTTAAGGGGGGGAAAAAAAAAAACAAAAAAAATAAAAATAAAAATAAAGAAAGAAATGAGTTATACATAAGAAACAAGCCGTTGAGATGAATTCATCTACACAATAAATAGCAAAGCAACATTTCTATTTAAAAGGCTAGTTATTAGATGACCTGTGTTATTTTCCATGAATTAATCCTCTCCCCTTTATTATTCGACGTCTTTTTGTCAAATAACAGGCAAAATGGCAACACTAATATCCCTACTGTTTTGCACGCCCTCAATTTCTTTCCCAAATACCCTCGTTCCGTTGTCTCTCTCATATCAACCACGCACACAATGCACACACCTAGTTCTACAAAAGAAAATTGAAGCTTCTCCCATCAAACAACAAATGCACACACATTCCACCCAAATCATGAACCTAACATTGGAAGCACTATGCAAAGCAATACGCAAAACCAAATACTCCTTAGCCAAAAAGATAATGAATAAATACATACTAAAAGTACTATTATACTATTATGAAAACATCACTAATAATGTAAAGATATATTGACTAAGACTTCAGAAGTAAGCTGAAAGAAAGGTGCCATTACAAAAGACTAGTACCAAATAACTAAGTTGTCTAAACTAAAAGATTGACAATGCAAAATAACAAAATAATTTGGGGATATAAGCTGTTAATTAGCTATTCTATATGGTAGATAAATCTCAAAAGGAAAAAAAGAGAAAATTGAGTAAACAAAAAAAGAATGAGGAAATATTATTGGTGAAAAGTCATATTTCCATTATCAGTATGAAACAAGTTCAAAGCAAAGCCCATGGAGCGTGCTCGTTATTCAGAGAAGGAATTGTTACCTGTCTCTTCGCATGCTTTTGAAGATTGTCCGAGCTTGTTCCACCATTCCCGAGATTGCAAATGCATCAAGCAAGATGTTATAAGCTTTTTGTGTTGGCCTGGAAAAGAGAAACAATTATAGTGTATATTAATCTTCTCAAGCAATGATGAGAAATCAGCTTTAAGGCTTTTTCGCAAGTACAGCATGTTGATTCGTTTTCCACATACTTGATCTTTTGCAGTAACTAACAACATATGAACAAATCCAGTGAAACAAACAACAATTTGTTTTTGTCTGTTAAAAATTTAAAACAAAATTAGTAGTTTGAAACTATGGTTGACACACATTTTCCGACACGTGTCAATAATTTTGAAAACAAAATTCTTAATTTCCGACACATGGTCGAAACTTTTTGAACTAAAATGCCATCAGTGAAGCTTGAACATTGGATAACTCCTTTTAACATGGAAACGAAGCATAAGAATTAATGGTCCATATAGAATTTGACAATACAAAAAGGAAAAGTAGGAAGGTTTCATTGAAGGAATGGCCATCGGAGTAGGAGAGGAACCACTGAATAAAGTTTGTATTGTACAAATACATTGTTGACCCAAGGTATCTAACCAAGGGTAAACGAGATATTTTGAAGATAACAAACTATTGAAGGTGTTGAATTTAATGTCTTTTTGAGTTATGTTTAACAAGTTATACATCTAAGAACTCAAGAGAGCTTGTGGATCTATGGCAAAAGCAACAAGGATCCTATGCTTAAAGATGATATCTTGAAGCTCAAAAGACATTGAAGACAAAGATGGAGACATCAACTCAAAGCTCAAAGAAAAGGAAGATAAAAGAATTGGCTAGAATAGTCTTGGGTGAGTGCTAACTTAATTTGTGAAGTTATTTTTGAAGTAACTTTATTTGAAAACTTAATTTGGGTGAGTGCTGACTTGTGGACTATAGGACCATGCATATCATTCACATCATTTACGAGTCCTTAAACCATTAGCAATAGGTAATGAACTTCATTATATACAAAATTAGTATATGAGGCCCTTGCTAAAGATGAGTTAGTTCAAGTTTCTATAAGCTTTGAAAGAACTCAACACTTGAGCTACATATACTAGGACCATGTATTTCAATCATATCATTGACTGGTCTCTAGGAATATTGTACAAGGCTTTGAACTTAATTGTTTCAATCTTGAAAAGCCTTTGTCAAATATTGAGAAATTTCCTAAATTGGAATATTCATCATAATCTCAATATTTATACTTAGAGATGTCAAGGACCTTGAATCAATTTGATTGATCTTGTTAATGTCCACTTGATAATAGGCCATGGAATTAATTATTCATTTTATAAGGCCTTAATTACCTTGAGTTGATTTAAGACTCTGGGACCTAATGCACTTCGTGTATATCATTTTAAATGGTCCCAAGACTCTTAGCAGTAGGCCTTGTACTTAATTAAACCATCCAACAAAGTCCTAGTTGCTAGAGAGATGGCTATCTTACAAATAGGTAATTTTCAGCTCAGAGAATCCATGACCAGATTGCACTTAAACTGCCATAACTTTTTCTGTGGTTGGAGTTTTTGAGTAAGACCAGTGCCATTGGAAAGCTGACTTCGAGATCTTCAATTTGGACACAAATTTGAATTAAAATGAGTAAGATATGACCGTTTGAAGTTGGCATGTTCCTGCTGACTGAATACAGTTTCTGCAAGCTGAAAACATTTCAGTTGAGTCCAGTGTTATCAAAGGCCCAAGGCACTAGAGGTCATCTAGAGCCTAGACGCAAGGCGAGGGGCGCTTTGTGAAGTGAAGCACACAGTGGAAAAAATTAAATTACAATTAAAGTATTCAAATTCCATATAAAAGGCGCAAATGTTGTCAAAGGCGCACCTGGGCACACAACAGGCACAAGTCTTGCGCTATATGAGCCTAGAGCTTAGGCGCACGCCTTTGACAACACTGCAGCCGACCAAAAGTGGTAAACCATCCGACTGAAAATATTTTTAGCCAACTAAAAGTGACCGAAATAGCACTTAACTGTGGACAGTAGTCATGCTAAGTTAAAGAGACGTTTTAGCTGACCGAAGCTCTCTTTTAGCCGACCAAAAGTCTCCAGATTTGAGATAACGGCTAGTTTGACCTCACTTATAATTACCATTATGCCCTCCAACGGCTATATTCTTCAAAGGGCTATAAATACACAATGCTTTTGACATTGCAAGCATGCAAGAGTGCTATAGACAGACCTCCCTTTGGGTATGAAACGTGTTTATCATTTTTGGATAGAAATCTTTTATAGGAATCACCATTGAAACTCATATTGCAAACCTAGAGTTGAGGTTTCATTCGAGTTCTTCATCTTTAACTCTAGGATTTGAGCTTGTATTTATATATCTATCCATTAAGGGATATTGTTGTATTTCAATTGTTTATAATTGTCTATTTGAGAGACACCCATCGTAATTCTCAAACTTCAATATATATTCTTGAGAGAAGAAGACCAAGAGGTGCTCTTGGCAACGGAAGCTTGTAAAGCTATTGTAAGGTTTCTCTATCTTAGGCTGTAAAAGAGAGAAGGTTTCACTTGACCTTTTAATTTCTATTTCTTGTCCATGTATGATGCAGTCAGTTCTGTCTCATTAATAAAGTCAGTTGTGTCAGTCAATAGTCTCTAGTCAAGGGATTAATTATGGTATGGGAAATCTTAATATGTATTGGAAAACATAGAAGCTATTATTAATACACTTGGGTAGTTTGAAAGTCAGTCTTGGGAAAAGGTAGTATCATTAATTGTTGTCTTATACAAGGAGGAGTCTCTTATCAGTTGTATTCAAGTCTTTATCAATATATATTGAGTTATTATCAGATTTTAACAGTTTCTTCAGGCTTTTCCCAGATTTCCCATTAGAGATCTAGAAAAAGTTCCATAGTTTACAAATTATATGATTAATATGTTTAAAAAATTCATGTTACTAGAATGAAATAATTGTTATATATAACCATTTTATATAATAATATAACTTGTTTCCCTGTTTGCCCTGTGTCCTACTTTAAGATTCCTCGTGCTAACTTGTCCGAGACGTGGCATATCAATATCTTGAGTTTGTATCCATGCTTCATAAATTACAATTAATAAAGGTTCCAACCACTCCCAACGCAACAATAATGCAACCATTAATTGAAGCCATCTGTAGCAATTTCATCTGAGTGTTGAGACCAGGTTGGATTTCTTTATCCAATTTAAGAGGTTTGCTAGCCACAGTCACTAGCACGATTGTGGCTAAACATGTTATTGGTTACATAATCATCACGTGTTGATTTCTTTTCTTTTTTCTTTTTTTATCCTATCACGTGTTGTTTGGAGAGGCCCTCATTACCTCTCTTTAAAAATTTTTAAAAAAAAAAAAAAGTATAAGTTTCTAAAGATTTGTAAAATATCATATTAACATATGATTGAATGTAAAATAATCGTGTAATTTTTTGTCATCATGCAAAATTTAATTTAATTTTTTTTTTTAATTGTTTTGGAGTTGTTATAAATGTAAAATTTGCAAGCAACAGGACTCTATCTTCAGCAGGAAGAGACATATTTGGTCATCTAGTGATCTTTTAGAGTTGAAAATGTAAGCAGCAATACTCTATTCATATGCTAAATTTAAAATGGCACTAATTATTTTAAAAGTTAGGACATATTTAAATTCATATACCAACACGAGATGGTTTTGTAACCAATCACAGGAGCGAGGGCTGACAATTTAAGAAAGAAATATTCTAATTTTGTTTGGACATAGAGCCTTCATACGATTGATGAGAGGGAGAGAGAGAGAGAAAGAGAGAGATTGTAGTTGACCTATATCCAAGTTCTTGATAATGATTAAAGTTTATAGATTTTGGAGAAAAAAAAATCTGTAAATTCTAGTGTTGTCAGGGGCATATTTGTAATTACTTATATAATATTGGGGCTTATGTGTAATTTCTGAAACTTGTTAGCATAAATAGAATGTGGTGGAAGGATGAAAGTATTCTTTCATTCTTTCTCTCTTTCCCCATCACTCTCTCAATTTCTCTCATCCTATTTCTTCTCTTTTTCTTCTTATACTTTATTCTTGATTTGATTATCTCTTAAAGTCAACATGGTATCAGAGCAAGGTTTGCAAAGCTCTAGGTGTGTAGTTGAAATCCTAGGGCAAGTTTGTGTAAACCTTAGTGGGTGTGAAGGGTTTTGAAGAGATTCAAAGATGGGATTTGTTTGAAAGAAAGTAGTGTTAATCACATCCACACGTACCGCGGATCCAACTCCGCGGTGAGTTAGCTGGGGTCGCAGGGCAACGCGCCCCTGCTCAGGTTTGTTGCATTACAACACGCGGTGTGTTAGAGAGGTGGTTCTCTACGTATTTTGCTATGAAGCCCCGAAAACATTTTTTTGGACTTGTTTTTTATCGATTGCAGTCTTGATTGACGTTTTTTTCCATGTTCGTGTGGTTCTGCAACAACAGCCTTTTCTTCGTCATTTGCGATTTTGGTATGGTCTACTTTGTTGCTTTTTAGGATTTGTGTGGTGACTATGTGGTCTTTTTTTTATGCATCTCAGAAGACGGTAATCTTTCTAGTTGCAGTTTTTGTGTGTTAGAAAGGTGGTTCTCTACGTATTTTGTTGTTGTTTTTGTTTTTGAGGATTATATACCCAGAAACTGTTTGATAAAATGTCCGGCTCAGAGGTGAATTCAAAAGAAGTTGGGTCTTCCCCTAGTCTGACTCCAATATGGGCGGTAGTAGTGACCACCATCTAGGCCTTTGTATTACAACTATTAGGCAGGATAAGAGGAATTATATGGAGCAGGCTTAATCTGCTTGAACGCATATCACTGGTCGTAGGATATTCGGAACGTGCTTGGTTTGAGAGATTCAGCGCTACTATGGAAAGAGTAGGGTACACATGGAGTCAGCCAGATCATACTCTTTTCATCAAGAAGCACCAGGGCTGCACCACTGCCCTTATTGTATATGTTGATGATATTGTTATCACCAGAAGAGATTCATCGAATGAAGTCATTCCTGGGGACAGAGTTCGAGGTTAAAGACCTCGGATCATTGAGATACTTTCTTGGCATCGAGGTGTGCAGATCAAAGAAAGGGGTGTTCATTTCTCAACTGAAGTATGTGTTAGATTTGTTGGCTAAAACACGCAGGTTTGGAGCTAGACCTATTGATATTCCCATTGAGCAGAACCATTGGCTTAATGATGTAGATGGAGACCCATTAGATGATGTGGGAAGATTTCAGTGATTGGTTGGGAGGCTGATTTACCTATCTCTCATGCACCCGGATATTGCCTATGATGTTAGTGTGATTAGTCAGTTTATGCATGTGCCACGGACACCTCACCTTGAGGCAGCTCATCATGTTCTTTGTTGCCTCAAGAGTTCACTTGGTAAGGGGATATTATTTGGCCGCCATGGCCACTTGTGTGTTGAAGCCTATACTGATGTTGATTGGGCAGGGTCTATGATAGATCGACGATCTACTTCAGGATATTGCACATTTGTTGGAGGTAATCTTGTTTCATGGCGAAGCAAGAAACAATCTATAGTAGCTAGATCCAGTGCAGAGGCTAAGTTCAGATCCATGGCAAATAGAGTTTGTGAGTTGTTATAGCTACAAACGATGTTGGGTTATCCTGTTCGTGAATCAATGAAGTTGTATTGTGACAACAAGGCTGCTACTAGCATTGTCCACAATCCAGTTCAACATGAACAAATCACATTGAAGTCGATACACACTTAATCAAGGAAAAGCTTCGTCTTGGGCTGATTTGTACTCCATACATCAACACATATGAGACTAAGGGTGTGAGCAAGACTTACTTGCAAAACATGTTAGTCTGGGCATGATAGATATCTTTGCACCAGCTTGAGGGGGAGTGTTGTCAGGGGCTTATTTATTATTACTTATATAATGTAGGGGATTATGTGTGATTTCTGAAACTTGCAAGTATAAATAGAATGTGGTGGAAGGATGAAAGTATTCTTTCATTCATTCTCTCTTTCCCGATCTCTCTCTCAATTTCTCTCATCCTATTTTTTCTCTTTTTCTTCTTCTTATACTTTACTCTTGATTTGATTATCTCTTAAAGTCAACATCTAATACTTTAGGCCAACACTCCTAACTCAACTAAAAAAAAAAAGTTAAACTAAATTCTTTTAAGAACATCTGGCAAAGTCACCACTAAATTCTTTTAAGAACCTTTGGCAAAGCCACTGAGGTGACTTTCTCTTAGAGTGTAGCAAAAACAAAATAAAATTAGAAAAGAAAAGAATGATCATGCCACGATTCTCAGTGGAAAAAAACATGAAAGCTAAATTCAATAATTCAGTGTTAGGAAAGTAAAGAACAAGCACATGGAACAAAAAGAATATGTGACACAAAATGTTGTATTCATTAATATACAAAAGCATCTACATGGCATTTAATAAATCTTAAAGCAACTTCTCTATAAAACAAAAAAAATAAAAAACTTAAAGCAATCGATTGAGAGAAATCAAATCAGGATAAAAGAGTAATTCTTTTTCTGTAATTAAAGTTTTTGAAACTTGGACTTGCCAAATCATAATAAAAACTACACACCTGACACCAGCATCGAGCATCTCCTCAAAAACAGCTAAGGCTTCTTCTTCCTTTCTAGCTTTTCCGTAAGCATTAATGAGTAAGGCATAGCTCACAACGTCAGGTTGAAGACCGGCTCTTTGCATCTAAAATATGGTATTTAATTTAGAAGTCTGATGAAATCATTACCAATGTAAATTAAACGAAAAGGGAAAGGAAAAAGTTTCCAAGAAAAATCTACTACAACAACCACCACCAAGCCTTTTCCCAATTACTTGGGGTCGGCTACATGAATCCTATGTTTCCATTCCACTCTATTTAAGGCCATAGCCTTAGTCAATCCACATGCTATCATATCTTTCTTTACTAACTCTACCCAAGTTAACTTTGGTCTTCCTCTTCCTCTTCCTCTTCCCCTAGTAGTGTTACCCTCAATGTGAACTATGTCACTTTTCCTAAGCGGCACACTTAAAGGTCTTCTTTGCAAATGTGCAAACCATCTTAACCAATTTTCTCTCATTTTATCTCCAATTGACGCTACTTCAACCATCTCCCGTATGTGATCATTTCTAATTCTATCCTTTCTAGTCTTACTGCACATCCATCTCAACATTCGCATTTCAGTCACTCATGTTATGCAAATGTTGTTTCATAGCTGCCCAACATTCAGTAACATAAAGTATCATCTATCAGCGGAAAAAAGCTAGCCAAGGATCCATATTGTGGAAACAAGCACAGAGAAGATCCTCAAGGAACTAGGAATACTAAAGGCTGGTCTAATAGCAGTTCTATAGAACTCCCTTTCCAAAGAGCAGAAAAATCTGATCCAAGATAATTACGAAATGAGCATTCAAGGACTATGCTTTCACTATGTACGTGAATTGCTATGTGCATGTTAGCCACACTTGTTTAAGCTCAGGCATGAAAACCATTCATGTAAGCAGCATGAATAAAATATTGAATGCTAGTAAATTCAGATTGGCTGTATTTATTAACTTCAGCTCCAAGCAGAACTTTAGCAAATTATGAAAAATCGACTAAAAAAAATTAGCATCATGTTTTGAATTACAGATGTACACATTGTTACATATACACAGATTTGTAGAAATCTATAAATTATAAAGTTCAGATACATTCTTTTTACTTATAAAAAATATATATTGTTCAGATACATGGAAAATTCAACTCTTCTTCCTGAGTTGTAAAGGTCATAGAGTTTAAATGTTCAAACTTGAGCTTCAATACTTTTCAGTTATTGCTGATCCAACAATCATTTACGGAACTATAAAGGTAGTTTTCTTAAATTATGAAGATGTGTACTTAAATTGTGTGCAGTAGTAAGCATAGATAATGTTGCATATGCAATTTGATAATGGATGGAGAGTAGAACGGATGAAGAACCAACCAAAATTGAAGTAGGACCAACCAACTGATGTAGGCGGGAATGCTCGGATACCAATTGATGTAGGACCAATAAATTGCAAAGGGATGAAAATCAAAAAGAAGAGATAGGCTAGATACACTAAAGGGTCAAGAAGAGCAAGAATAAGGGAGGGAGAAAACCCAAGAGATAATTTTGAACCATGACAGTATTCCAATAATCAAAAGTGCATTTTTTGGTTACATAAGAGCTTTTATGTACAAAATTATAACCAAACCCTAAGAAACCCTAAAATAATAACGTCCTAAAATATCCCTAAAATTTAATATTACCAAAATAAGAAGAAAAAAAAACCCTTCTCCATGCCCCTTCTCAATGGTAGTGGCAAATCGCGTTTGTCTCATGCGTACGAGTCATATCTCGTTCTTCATAAGTAGAGACAAATCATGAGTTGCTCATGCGTGCGAGTCCTATCTCGTTCTTTGTCAAGGACACACCTTCATACATATACTTCACCCTCCTTCATAATCTGCATTGGACGAATCAGCCTCAAGGTTTACTCCATATACTAGTAGAGGTGGAGAAAAAATGGTAATTATTTGCACACTCAAGCATTTTATATAAGTCATATCTAAAGAATAAATTTATCTTGTTCCAGTAGGAATATATTCCGTATATATAAATATGAATCATTTGATAACATAGAGTTAGAATTAGTGGGGGCATTCAAAGTTTGGACAATAATAAGAGAAAAAATTTAAACCACAATAACAAATAGAAAATTTAATTATTGATTAATAATTCTCATTTCGTACATTTGCAATTATTCTTGACAATTTTTCATGTTTTGAAAGCATTGCATGATAACGTCACTTCTTAAAGAAGGGAAAATATTATTATTATTATGGCAAGTAATGCGCACACCAACTTTTTGTCCCACTAGGGACTTCAACCCTTGGTCTTCCACTTTAGAAGGCAGATGAGATACGACTAGGCTACAACTGTTGGTGGTTGTTCTTGAGCATTGATTGAATGTTAGAAATAGACTGAACTTTACTCTTCACACTTCTTGTAAAGAGAAAGAATTACCACTTAACCATTGACTCGGTGGTAGTTTTTTTTTTTTTTTTTTTCCAAATAAAAATCTAAGTGTTCAAGTCCTCTTAGAGGCAATAATTGATGTGTGTGTGCTTGAGTTTGGATATGTTAGTAGCTTATCTATCCAACAAATAAATAAATAAATAAAAAGGAAAGAGTGAGAGGGTCCAAGAAAAAACGACTTGGTTCATGGTTGAATTTTTAAGTAGCGAGCAAGTTTTAGAGTCCCAGAAAAGAAAGTTAGAGATGCACTGAGAGAGAGAGAGAAGAAAAAGAAAAAAGAAGACAAGAAAAGATGAAACAATAAAAATATATGAAAAGAAAGGGTGGCATGAGATATCTGAAAAAGATGAGTATACAAAATTAAAATAAGAAAAATTGAGTAGGGGCATCTAAGGTTTTTGATGATTTTAAGAAAGGGAGGTTTTAGAATTATGAAAATATATGTATAGAAAATATATAAAAAAAATAATTGAGTGGGGGCGGCAGCCCACACTGGGGCCTCAATGGCTCCGCTCCTGATTACAATAGGAACATACTCTGTAGGGGGAAAAAAATAGAAGTGAACCAGGTGATGCAACTGTTTTTTAGTCAAAGAAAAAGCAAGCAATTTTATTGAAACAAAAACAATCATGTAAATGGTTTCAGGAAGCGTACGTCCCTAGTACATTACAAACAAAGTACAAGAACCCTACCCAACTGTTCCAATGAATAGAACTATAATACAAATGGATAGTGAGCAGAACAATGTTATTAGAAAGGAAGAACACTAATAAAACCTTGAATTGGTAGCCCAAAAGCAAAAACAACACAGAAATAGCAAGACTATGCTGATGAAAAATCCAAGCAACCTTAACAGGAACATACATGCAACACCATAATAAACCAAACCAAAAAAAAATCAACAGAATTAGTTGGGACAAGGGTATCGTTGACCTGCTTTCGGTACCAAGCCCTTGCCTCCTCATGATGTCAACAGGCAAAAAGTAAACCAGGCCTGATGAATTGTCAAGGTGAAAATCTTCTGGTTGGGGTAGCCCACCACCGATTCCGGCCCAAATGATCAGAAAGCAGCCCCAACCAGAGATCCACCCTGTCCAAATAAGGCCTAATAAGGTTATACCGAGCAAAGAGCATCGGAGTTATACAAAGAGCGAGCAAGCATATAACCCCACCAATGTAGGATAGCAAGTTCCAAAATCTTCTAGTGAAACAGAAAGAAAGCAGAACCAGAAAGCTAAGAACTATTCTGTCACACGGCCATATTAAAACTCCAAATCCAAATGCTATGCCCAACCAACCAAGCTTACCGAATAACAATATAATGATCTAAGAAAACTTGTGTTTATCTCTCATACCACTTGAAGTAGTAAGAAAGACTAGAATTACTCCAATCAATGTCAGAGCCTAGATTTCTAAATGAAAATTTGATGAGAGCCTTAAGAGAAGTATTTACTCAGAAAAAATCTCAAAATTATATTGACTAAGACTTGTTGCGGCAGAGAGAGGACTGTACCTTATATTATTTAACTTCTAATGATTCCTGATTTCTCCTAGAATGACTTAATGAATCCCCACACAGTAATAATAACATTTTACCACTTCTAAATGTGATTAAATCCAATGAAGTATCCAAGTTGAAATGCTTTGGGATCCACCTTCATCTCCAGTTCACTCAATCAATGTCCTTCCAGGGAATGCATATCATTTAAGATTTGTAGTGACATTTGTTTTCAATATTTCAACCATGTTTATTAAGGAAATTCGTCAATACACAAATTAATATCATAAAAACAACACCCATCTAGCGACTCTCCAGCCATTGATATCCCAACTCCCTAAACATCAGCTGGAATGCTCTTATGTAGAAAATTTCAATGTAATGTTCCTCAACAATCTGGAGATATAAAAGATGGTAGAGAAAAACTCAAAAATACAATGAAGCAGCTTGTCATTTTGTAAAGCACAGGGTGACAAGAAAAAAATTGTGATTTTTTTTGTCAAGTTGAAGCCTAGGAGGAAAGGTGCTTGTTGAGGCTTGGAAAAGGTTGGTTCTTTAACTCATGTAAAAAGCTAGGCATAATATATATCTACACACAGCTTGAGGGGAATTGTCAACACATCAAACTGTAAGAAATAAGACTATAAGAATTGAGGCATTACAATCACTTCCATAAAATAAAGGGAAAACTGTTACCAAGTCCTACTTTTCTCATTGACAGACAACTAAGTCCCAAAAATTTCCCTTCAGGACCAATAAGTCCTACTCTTGATTTTTTCCAATTAAGTCTTAAATCACTAAATCTTCCATTGATATCCTTATTAAATTAGATAAACTCTTGCTAAGTTAGATATAAATTAGTTTTGTATACCCTAACAAAATTAGACACAAAATTTGATTAAAAGAAACATATATATATATATATATATATATGCATTTTATTGAAGTTTTTATAGAATAATTAATTTTTTTGTACTAAAATCGTGTATTCTACACAAGAGTTTTTTAATTGAATTTAAAGTAGATTAATTATTATTTAAACTCCTAATAAAATATTATTAAGTAACTAAAACTTGAAGGAATATATATATATATAATAGATTATATATCAATTCATGAATATATTTTTTATTACAAAAATTTTCTTTTATTTAGTAATGGTACAAATGGAAGATTTAGTGATTTAAATGGAAAAATATCTCAAAAGTAGGACTTATTGGTCCTAAAGGAAAGTTTGTAGGACTTATTTGTCCTTCAATAAGAAATGTAGGACTTGATAGTAATTTTCGCTAAAATAAATGAGCTAACCTCATTGAAGGGATGCTCTCTCCGCTCACTCCAATCACACTTTTTTCTATGTATTTTCTTCTGCTTAGTCTATTTACCCAATAACTTATACAGGGGATCACTTTTATATACTCATGATGTATAAATATAGAAATATATGACTTTTTGTGGTAACAGATATGTGAAACCCATCAGATACTCAATCAAACGGGATGAAATTTTTTTTCATCTTATGTCAAAAATATTTGCACAGAAATGGGTCAAAATTGATGAAATTTAATATCTCAAACTCAAAACGACACTAGATTTTTCCCATCAAAATTCCAAAACAACAAAAGAATAAAAAAAATAAAAATATATATGTAAAAAATTAGGAAGTGGAACTAAACCACTTTGTGCTTCTCTAAAACAGAAGACTAAGGAATTATTGCTGTAAGCTCATACATTATTATCAAAAGTACTTCCGCTAAAATGATAGTTGATTGTAAATTTGCTATTGAGGAATATCAAAAGTAAAAACATATAACTGTATTAATTTACCTGGTCATAGATATTCGCCACCTCCTTGTAATTAGATTCAAATGACATTAAACTATTATAAGTAACTGTAGATTGCTGAACACCACGCTCCGCCATCAATGAAAAAGTTTTACGAGCTTTTTCATAACTCCCAGCCTTCTTATACATGTAAATCATCATGTGGAACATTTTCTGGTCTGGCTTTAAAGGTGAAATCTCCTCATTCAGAAGGTTTTCAAAGACTTCTTCAGCTTCTTTAAACTTGCCTCCCTGTGTCCCATGATAGACATAAGCATGTATTGAGAAAATGGCATGACAATATTACCTGAAATGTGCACACACACAAGCACATACACACACATAGTTGTAAAGTTTCACAGAAAATTCAAATTATAGCGAAAGGCAGTTCGTTCGAATTAGTTTTTATAAAAAATGAGGAGGAGGAGGAATGGGACGGAGCTGGGTGGTGGAAGCAGGATTAATCCTCTTACAAGGTACATACTGTGACGTTGCAATTACGTTGTAAGTTCAAAGAATTCAATACATAATTTAAGAACACAACTTTTTTCATGTTTAAAACTAATGGGATATCAATAAATAAAACTTTATTCTTCTATGACATCTGTAATATTATTATTTACCTGCATCTTGTTCTAGTCTCCAATCATGATTTCTGAAACAAACAAATTATAACCAGACCACAGTCCACGTTAAAATTTAATTCTAAGGTATAAAAGAGTAACTCAAACAATTAAAAAAGATGTTATTTAACACATATGCTCTGGTAAGTTATTCTATATATCCATTCTACAATAACTTCTCCTAAGAAGAGAGAAACAGTAGAATTAGCACCTTAGGGTAAGCATTCAACCCATTATAGTTCGCAAGGAACAGAACATGTGTAAACTATAAAATAGAGAAGAAAAGGCATCCTAATCATGACAATTGTGCTCTCTTTTTTTTTTTTTTAACCTGGGTGACAATTGTGTTCCTCTAAAACTAAAGACACACCTAAGGTATATGCAGATCATACATCTGCCACGTGCTACAATAGATGGGTCTGATATATAAAAGAAAAAGAATCGCTGCAGGTCATTACACAGTGTTCGTTCCACCAATGCGGCATGCTGGGAGGAGTGGTCTGCCTACATATATATCTCCCAACGTTATTCTCATGAATTGGCTGCCCTCAAACTCAAAACTTACATACTCATCCTTGCAGATAATGTTCTCATCTTTGAACCAAGCAATGGCAATAGAAGAAAACGAAGTCCTAATTATTATAAATAGGGTTCTTCTTCCCTTTGTGTGTGTGTGTGTGTGTGTCTCATGAGTTCGTAAATTTCCATTTTTCTTCTTTCCAGAGCATCAGTACAATAATATACAAACTTATGGGTACTTTGGTGCGCATATGTCATTTTATAAGAGTTGTAGCTTTAAATTACAAAAAATGAGTTGAATAAATCATATTAGATAAGTAACCTGGCGGAACTTGAAAACTCGAAACAGATGCTAACAAAGATGACATACCTCAACAAATATCTTAAGAATTATTTGATATGTTAAAGCAGAGGGTTCAGGGCCCGAAGATTGCATCCTTCGAAATATTGCCTCCGACTTATTGTATTGACCTCCTCTTCCATATGCATCCATAAGAGCAGTGTGAGATATCACACTTGGGGCATAACCCTTTTTGTTCATGTAGCTTAAAACCTTTTCAGCCTTGTTAAAGTCTCCTTGCTTTCCATAAGCCGTAATAAGCATCAGAAAATCCATTTCATTAAAATCCCACCAATGCTGAGTCCGAAGCCATTCAAGAATCTAGAAGCAATGAGAAATACAACTTATATTAATTGTAGATGCTAATGAGCTCAGGGAGCAGAATCTCTTCCTCTCTGAATATGGAAAATAAAGAATTATTAACACAAAAACCAAATTGCCACCCAGATGAGAGATGCCTCCAATTGTATACAACCAGTAACCCCAGAGTTCTGCAACAATCCATAATTAGATGATCACCAGGATATGAAAAACATTTTTTATACACAACCACCCATGTTTTAGCTCCTTGTGCTTTTGGATTATATTTAATGCTTGAGATAATTAATTTCCACACCATTTGAGCATGCCCCTCGTAGAATTTTTTGGATTGATTAATCATCCAAGAGCAACTTTGTGTTACACTTCCAAGAGCAGTCACTTTGTATAAAACTCTATTTTAATTTTTACACTTTAAAGAAGATGCTAGAATACTTGGTTGGTGAGATATTCTGGTGAAAAATCACATTCTTGGGATCTAGCGTCCTGAGGTGTTTAAAAACGCATAATTTTCCATCCCTGCTTACCTTAAAAATATATAGATATATCTACAGTTGAATATTGGTAATGTGGTGGACATTCTATATTAATACTATAATTTAATGGTTCGCCTATGATTCTCCTCGTCAATTGATGAAATGACTTCAAAAAGAAAAAAGTGTATACCTCACTAACAAGGTTCCACTTCTTTAGCTGCTTAAATCTAACCAAGGTACCCAGAACCAAGTCTCTAGGAAGAGCCTGGTTCTTGGTCCTTTGGCTTCTGAGAATCAGAACAGCAGAACCTGCTTCATCAATTTCCTTCATCAGTCTCCTCCAACTCCTCTGATCTGCTTCATCAGCTGCATCTTTGAAAACATCTACTTTCTTCCTCTTTTGCATGAATTTTCTTGGTGACAACATACCAAGACAAACTACCTCCACTCTTCTATGGACTTTCATGTTGACGTCAACTGAATCTCCATAGATATTATGTTTACTGGAGTAAAGAAATGTGATGTTATTGTTCCACCCCCAAAACCATGAATACACCCAAAGATAAAAGTAAAAAAATTATTCAAGAAGTATCCAAGAAAATATCTGGATGCAAATTGATGACCTTTTACACAGTTCCATGTTAAGCTAGAGAAAATAAAAAAGAATGAACAGAGAAGAAATTTTAAAAAATGGTCAAAAGAGCAACAAACTAATAGTATGAGAAATGCAGACAGCATTCACAGTATAATAATAGTGATCAAACAACAATAAACACTTGCACGACCATATATAATTTAAGAGCATTGTCATTCTGCCTATTGTTGAAGAATTTATATATTTAGGTTACACCCTCTCTAAAAGCTTAAGCTTTTAGAGCAGATTTTTTTTTTTTCTTCACATAAATAGGTGTTGACAACCATCTACAGTAGATGGTTGTCATCATCATCCTTGCCTTATTCCCATATGAATAGAGTCGGCCACGTGAAATCTCTGCAATATTCTTTTTCTATTATAAGTCATCTCACCCGTAATAGTTAACTTTTTTAGCTCATTTCTAATGATTTTATTGTGTTAACTTCGGTCACCCTCTTTGCCTCCTACCTTCTATGCAAATTATTCTCCATCTTCTTACTGGAGCATCTATAGATCTTCTTTGGATATATCCACACCACTTAAGTCTATTTTCTCAATTTCTCCTATCACTAGTAGGAACCACTCCTAAATTTTCCCTCACACCTTGATTAGGAACCTTATCTCTTCTAGTCACCCCTATCATACATCACAATTTCCTTGTTCTTGCTACGTGAATTTGTTGCTCATATTTTTTTTTTAATGCCCAACACTCTAAACAGTATAAAATAGATGGCTTAGTAACTATTCAATGAATTTTTCTTTTTAATTTATTTGTTACTCTTTTATCACATAAAATCACAGTAACATGTCTCCAATTTGTCCAACCTGCTCCAAATCTACTAATTATATCACCATCTATCTCACAATCCTTTTATATCAGTGACCCTAAGTCTTGAAATTGGTAACTTTGGATAATCTTTGGTTTAGTAGCGTGATCATTATATTTTTAACATCCGAATTTTTACTAAGTTTACATTCCATAAATTCAGTTTTCGCCCTACTAATTTTTTAACCTTTTTTCTAATGCATTTCTCTACATTTCTAATTTTATTACTATATTTTGTTAAGAAGTGTCCAACAGCACCATTTCATCTGCCAACAACATGCACCATGAAATGTTTCTTTGTTAAGTCTTTTGTGATCTCATCTAATATTATCGTAAATAAATATGGACTGAACGCTGACCCTTGGTACAATGTTTCATATATGAAAAATAAAAAATTAGTGTCATCAGATATAGTGTGAACTCTAATTCCTGTAACATACACACCTTGAATAATCTTTATCATTTCGATAAGAAATTGTTTTCTTTGTAGATCTTTTTACTTGATCTCTTTGCCAATTATCTCTCTTGGCACCGTATCAATCTATCATATGTATTATCTAACTCAATAAAAATCATATGTAGAATTTTTACTTACCCCTACACTCTTCAACAGTCTCATTAAATAAATAGCCTCCATTGTGGATCTACTCGGCATAAATTCAAATTAGTCATCAGAAACACTGTGGATTTCTTCCTTAATATTTTCTCTATCACCATTTGTTGTCAAAAGTGTAGGAATACAAAAAGAATTTGAAAAAAAAAAAAAACTTGGCTTCGCCTAAGGTACTCTTTGCTACAACAGCCATAGTTTTATTACATTAAATAATTTGTAAGAACTGTTTACGAAGCTTTTCTCTTTTCGTCTTCCCCATCTTGTCAGCAGATGAAGAGTCCTTCCTGCGAAAACATACATATATATATATATATATATATATATATATATATGACTGCATATATAAATGTAAATATACACGTTTATGAAATGAAATTGCAAACATGAAGAAATTTCGAAGTCGACAAACCTCCAATTGCTAGTGGATGGAGCTGAAATAAAGGGTTTGAGGATCAACATTTGAGGTATCTGTGGCCACCAGCCTTGTCTTTAAACTGCACAGAGAGAGTGTGTGTGAGCAACAATGTCGACGCAAATTAGTAGGTGCAGTTGATACCGCAAACAGTTGTTATGCCGCGTCTTCGTCTCTCACACATTGGGGGATATTATTTATATTCATATTATAATCGGATAAATTGCAAGAAATACTCCTTTGGATTTTCATATTTTATCAGATACCCCTGTTAGATTTTGAAACTCGTTATTCCCTCTCTTCTTCAAATTTATTAATAATTAGTCCACCAAAATCAGTTTTCAACTAGGCAAAAGCCCCAAGCCATGCTTTTGCACCTGATTCAATGTTGACTATTAGACCATTATACCCTCTGACATTATATACAAACCTTTGGCATCCCTTTATCCCAATAAAAAGCATGCCCCACTGTCTCTCAAACACGCCTTATGTCAATACTCTCACACACACACACACACACATCACTGTTCATCTTCTTCATCTGCTTTCTGAAATAACAAATAAACTTTTAGTTGGAATCGGTCTCAGTCAAGAAATAGAGCGACAAATAGTGAGAGTATACGGAGGGGAAGCGACACACAGAGAGTACACAAAAGGGATTATATATATAGATATATAGATACACGTAGAGATATGCTCAACATTGCCGGAAAACCTGTATATTCCCTGTTTCTCATCCTCATCACCCCAACTCAGCATACATACTCAATTAGAAAAAAGAAATCTAATTTTCAGATATTTGAAACCCTAGAAATCAATAGATTTTCATTGTTAACCGTAACTGACGTAGCGGAAGTGATAAAATTCATTCACAAGGAACAAGGTTACTTTGAATCCACAAAGTTAATAAGAATTGCAAAGCAGTCTGAAATATTGTTAATCAAAAGTTAAATTATGCTCTTGCAGTACATATATATTTATAATATAGAAAACTAACACTATGAGGAAACTAAAAATATAAGGAAACTAATCCTAAAAATAATTTTAAAACTAATTTCTCTCTCAAATTCTAAAAAATATATAATAAGAAACCTAATCAACAAAAACTACTACATCTAAAATTTGAGAGCAATCCAACGTCGTTTATGCCTTGAACAAAAATCCCGAAATAGTTAGCAGCCTCTTATAAGATGATAAAATGCGTTTCAGAGCCCTAAACGAAGGTTTTCAGCAGAAAACCAACAAGGCCTGCAAGCAAAAGCTGTGAGTTTTTCTCAATGAGTCATTTCCACCCAAAAACCATACCACCTGGGTCAAAAATGGACTTGTCAAACTATTCACCATTTTGTCCAGAATTCTGTTATGCATCAGTCCCCTCTACTTAAAAAAAACTCATCCTCGAGTTTGGCTGAGAATAACATGAAGTATTGTCTACCACAAAATCATATTTTTCACTGCCATGAGAATCTCCAAAGCACAATGGCAAAGTATTTTCATTGGCACTTTCCAGAATAAATAATACTTTAGTTACAATTTGCTCAAATAATGATACTTTCCCAATTTTAAGCCGAAATTCATCCTAATCATCTTGGACATGCAATTCAAAATTTTCTTTGACTCCATTATCAATTAATTCACGTTTCTTGCTTTCAACATCAAACTTCTTGCCACCATCTTCTTCTTTTGTTGTCTCTTAAGTTGTATTATTGAAAGCTTTTTTAGGTGTCTCTGTTATTACTAAAGCATGGACAACTTCATCATCCTCAACTACAAGAGGCGAAGTAACGTAATTTTTCTCTTAATCAACTCCAATAATATCACTTGCCGCTCTAACAAAATTATTATTATCCTTGATGCCACTATCTTTTTTGTAAATTTCCTTTGTAGACTTTTTGATAGATGGACACTATTTGCGACAATTATGGTATTTTTGATATATCAACTCCTCATAATTTGATAGTAAGGAATTAGACATTATTTCATCTTGTACCACGACCTCATAAGCTGTTTTCCTTGCCTCCTCCGGTTAGTGCATATTTGTTCCCACCAAGCTGAAGTCCATCCTTTCAATTTAAGGGCAACAAACACTTGTTTTTTTTCATATATCTCAAAAATACTCGAACAATTCTTCAACTTCTTCAAGTCAGTCTAAGATGTCTTAAATAATAATACTTCCATGGAAAGTAAGTAGATCAAGTTTTACCTGAAATTCACGATTTTTGTATGTGCCTCGATCACTAAATACGAACTTCTCACCATCAGAATATTCTGCATAGGCTGGAGGCCTACGTGGATAAATTGGAACACAACCCATATTTAGTTGGCTGCGAGACGCATCATCAGTACGAACTCGAACTGAACGACGAACCTGGTTGCCACCAATCCCAAAACATGTTGCTAATAACCGTTCTTAAGTATGCATGGCTGCCCAAGTGCCCTTCACTCTGCGATCATCATCAACAAAGTGGATGTTACCAAAACGGGCAATCGTCATCAGTCCAAGGAAAATCAAGGCTCTGATACCAATTGTTGTAAGCGGAAGCGATAAAATTCGTTCACAAGGAATAAGGTTACTTTGAATCCACAAAGTTAATAAGAATTGCAAAGAAGTCTGAAATATTATTAATTAAAAGTTAAAAATCTACTCTTAAAGTACATGCATATTTATAATAGAGAAAACCAAATACTAAAAGGAAACTAAAAACATAAGGAAACTAATCTTAAAAATAATTCTAAAAATAAATTCCCTCTAAAAATTCTAAAAAAAATATATAATAAGAAACCTAATAAACAAAAACTACTAAATCTAAAATGTGAGATCAATCTGAGGTCGTCTAGGCCTTGAAAAAAATCCCAAAATAATCAACAAGCTTCCTATAAAATGATAAAACACGATTTCGGAGCCCTAAAAGAAGATATTCAACGGAAAACCAACAAGTCCCACTAGCTAAAGCTAGTAGGTTTTTCTCATTGCGTTGCTTCCAACCAAAAAATACTCCACCAGGTAAAAAAACAGACTTATCAAACTGTTCGCCATTCTGTCCTGCATCAATAATAACTATAGATAAATGAGAGCCCTCTGACGAAGTCATAATTCGTCGTCATCTTCGAATTCATCCTCACTATCTTCATTATCGTCATGGATTCATTTGAGATTGGTTTTATTTGTAGTTGTATCCTCCTCACCAGTTTCTTGTTTCGGTCATTTTTTCTCTTTACATTACTTCTCCATTTCTTAATAACTTATTTGCTTTAGCTCCATTTTTGTAACATTCATTGTTTTCACTTCAGATCTTGATCTTCATTCCGATGATGGAGACTGCAATAGCATGGATGGTCCTTAGAACAGAAACCTCAATGATCGCTTCCTCGGCGTGTTCCAGGAGCCACCGAACGGTCTCGCCATCGAATTTGTGGCCGAGCTCTCGAGTCAGCTAGAAAATTTAGGCCGCACAGGTAGTGGGTATTCAGATCCCCCGGCCACGTCCCTACACCTTCACGTGGCGGTCTTTGGTCGACGACCGTCGTACGATGGTGGAAACCGGCAGCGGACATTTTGGTTGTGATCGGTAAATAAGAGAAAATGAAACGAAACCCAACCCTCTTATAGGATTTTGCTATAAAATAGTTGAATTCAGAGGTCCCTGAATTTCATCTTTGCATCATCTCCAATGGAATTCTCGCAGATCTCTCATCCCTAAATCGAACAACACATGTTGGTGTTGGTACTTTGGAGGGCGATTTTGATATTGACTAGTAAAGTAGTATTTGGAGGTCATCGAAATAGGCGATGGTGTAGTGGTAGAGAGGAAAAAGAAAGTAATGGAGAAAAGAATTTAGATTATATATATATACTTTTAGGTGTGGTGGATATGGGTGGTGGTAGTGGGATAAGGAAAGAGAAAATATATATATATTTTTAACTTGGGCAAACTTGTAATTAAAATAGTCAGGGGTATATAGGACATTTTGCAATTTCGGGTGTTTTTTGGTTTTTTTAAAATGTTAATTATATGGGGTGTTTATGTAATTACACATTCAAATCAAACAGGAAAGAGGATTATGGCGATTGGAGGGGTGCAAAGTGCTCATTTTTTGAAGTACTATGAATGAGTTGCTCACTTTTATTGTGCATTCACTGAAAGCTCAAGGGGGATTTCGCATTTTTGCCTTTCTTCTATTAAAAAGTTATGTATGTTATTACAAACGCTATTTTAAATAAACATTTTTTAAGTATTAAAAAAATGTAAACGCCTCACAAAATTAAGTTGCAGTTTTCTTAAAAAAAATGGTCCCATAAAAGTCATGTCAAAATGCTTTAAAATAAAATCAAGGGTGTAAAGTGCCAAAAACCGAACTATCTTCAAATTTGTAAATAACTCTCTTGAAGTATATTTTATGCACAATACACCCTCAATTACCACATTTTGTCACAAAATTTCTTATTTTCATTAAATGATCATAATGCACTTTCTTATTAAATTATACTTAATACATTTTTCTTATTAAAATAAATTATGGAACAAATTCATATTAATTTGATAAAATATTATCCATTAAATTTGCATAAATTTTCCTTTAATTTCTTGAAATTAATTTTTTTAATAAAAAATTAACTAGAAAATTTTAAAACAATTTAAGTAATTTTTTTAATTATTCATGAATATATTGCATGAAAAATAAGTCATTTTTTATTTAAGTAATTTATTATTTTTTCATGAATATATTGTATGAAAAAAAAAAAAAATTTACATAAAAAAGTTTAAACCAAGTATATAAGTTTTATTATAAATAGTAAAGTTTTAAAAATAAGTTAATCATTTTAGAAAATGGTATTAATAACTCTATTTATTTATTTCATTTTTATGATAAATTGATACTAATAATAAAATTAAGGTATATGGTATAATTAATATTTTGTTAAGAAAAATGATAATTAAAATAATTTAATAAGAAATGAAAATTTTAATTAGAAATGATAAAGTGGTCTTTTGCGACGGGTTTGTCCTTTTGAAACAAATCATTAGTTCAATGGTGAAGTTTGTGGTTCAGCTGGGTTATCTGCATAAAGGGCAATAGTTCATGGTATTTTTTTTTTTTTTTTTTTTTTTGTACTTTACCCTAAAATCAAACAAATTAATAAAAAATGAAGTTTTTCATTTTTTTGAAAGAAAGAGAATATTAATT